TCTGCGTCAAGGAAGGTTGTGCCATGCGCCATGCATGGCTCACGTGTTCAATCTGGTTGTCAAGCGGTTCCTAAAATCCACCATCCCACTGCAAGACATCCTTAAAATGTCACGTAAACTGTGCATGCATTTCAGCCATTCCTACACCGCAAAGAACACCCTCATTGAGCTGCAGCGGCAGAACGGAATTCCACAGCATCGCCTGATCTGCGACGTTGCGTTGCAACAAGGTGGAATTCAACCCTACACATGTTAGACCGCCTTTACGAGCAGCGAAAGGCCATCACCGATTTCCTGATGTTACAAGCGGATAAAGGTACTCCCCTGTGTAACTTAGATGTCAGCCATTGGCAGCTCATGCGTGACACCTGCCGCTTGCTCAGGCCCTTTGAGGAGGCCACGCTATTCGTGAGTCGGCAGGACTATGGGATGAACGACGTCATTCCTCTGTTGCACGTCCTGGAACAAATGCTGTTAACAATGGCTGGTCAGGGTGCGGTAGACGTGGCGCACAGATCTCAACGCCACATGACCCCTGTGGGGGCAGGACAGGAAGAAGAGGAGGAGGTAGAGGAGGACATTTGTGCTCAGGAATTATTGAGTGAAATGGGTGGTTTTTCCACTCAGCGGACAGGAGTGGAGGAGCAGGAGCATCTGGTAGAGGAGGAGGAGGAGGAGACAGAGGACCCAGACGCACCGTGGCAGTATGCTGTGGAGATGGAGGCAGGGAGTCCCTCGCATTCCTTGGCACAAATGGCCCATAGCATGCTCGGTTGCTTGCGTAGCGACAGCGAATAATAACCATCAGACAGAGGGATGACTTTTGGCTGTCCACCTTGTTGGACCCTCGCTACCGGTCCAAAATGGTGGCCTTTTTCACACCTGCTGAGAGGGAGGCCAAAATTACGTACTATAAAAACCACCTATGTAGTCAGTTGGTCTCTGCCTTTGTGCGCCAACGTCCATCCTCAGACACTGTGGGCCCTGTGCGCTCGCGTTCCGCTGGCATGGCAGCAGGGGGGGGGGGGTGGGGTGGTAGGAGCAGTGGCAGCTCCACCAGCAGCGGCTGCCTCAGTCTGCAGTCGATGATGAGTAGCTTTCTTCACCAGCGCAGTGAGGAAACTACTAACCAGCAGCAGCAGCAGCAGCAGCAGCAGCATCAGGTGGACCTGGAGCAGGAGCTCAAACAACAGGCTTGGGCCTACTTGGACAGCACCCTGCCAACCGAGGTAGACAATCCCCTTGACTACTGGGCAACGAAACTTGACCTTTGGCCCCAACTAGCTGAATTTGCCCTTGAAAGGCTGTCATGCCCGGCCAGTAGCGTGGCATCGGAGCGCGTGTGTTTAGTGCGGCAGGAGGTATTGTAACTCCGCGGAGGACACGACTGTCCACCCAAAGTGTGGAGAGACTCACGTTTGTGAAAATGAATCAGGCGTGGATTAGTCTGGATTTCAAACCACCAGTTCCTGACACAACTGACTAAATCCGCCATGAATCATGCCTCATGCCTCAAACATGTGCCACTTTCAGGTCTCCTCACACACTGGTGTGTGGTGTGTTGAATTTTTTGACATAGGGTGCTGGCAGATTACGGGCCTCCTATAGCTGCTGCCAGGCCCCTAATCTGCCATAGGCCCCTATATACCGCCTCCTCATGCTGCTGCTAGGTCCAGAGTCTCATGGGTCCCTGTACGGCCTCCCATTGCTGCTGTCTCCATCGCCACACTCTCTGCCATGTGCCACTTTCAGGTCTCTCTCACACTGCTGTGTGTGTTGAATTTTTTGACATAGGGTGCTGGCAGATTACGGGCCTCCACATAGCTGCTGCCAGGCCCCTAATCTGCCATAGGCCCCTATATACCGCCGCCTCCTCATGCTGCTGCCAAGTCCAGAGTCTCTCATGGGTCCCTGTACGGCCTCCCATTGCTGCTGTCTCCATCGCCACACTCTGCCATGTGCCACTTTCAGGTCTCTCACACTGCTGGTGTGTTTACATTTTTTGACATAGGGTGCTGGCAGATTACGGGCCTCCCATAGCTGCTGCCAGGCCCCTAATCTGCCATGGGCCCCTATATACCGCCTCCTCCTGCTGCTGCCAGGTCCAGAGTCTCTCATGCCATGTGCCACTTTCAGGTCTCTCACACTGCTGGTGTGTTCAATTTTTTGACATAGGGTGCTGGCAGATTACGGGCCTCCCATAGCTGCTGCCAGGCCCCTAATCTGCCATGGGCCCCTATATACCGCCTCCTCATGCTGCTGCAAGTCCAGAGCCATGGGTCCACAGTCTCTCATGCCATGTGCCACTTTCAGGTCTCCTCACACTGCTGGTGTGTTGAATTTTTTGACATAGGGTGCTGGCAGATTACGGGCCTCCATAGCTGCTGCTGCCAGGCCCCTAATCTGCCATGGGCCCCTATACCGCCTCCCTCCTCATGCTGCTGCCAGGTCCAGAGTCTCTCATGGGTCCCTGTACGGCCTCCCATTGCTGCTGTCTCCATCGCCACACTCTGCCATGTGCCACTTTCAGGTCTCCTCACACTGCTGGTGTGTTAATTTTTTGACATAGGGTGCTGGCAGATTACGGGCCTCACATAGCTGCTGCCAGGCCCCTAATCTGCCATGGGCCCCTATATACCGCCTCCTCTGCTGCTGCCAAGTCCAGAGTCTCTCATGGGCCTGTACGGCCTCCCATTGCTGCTCTCTCATGCCCATCTGCCATGTGCCACTTTCAGGTCTCCTCACACTGCTGGTGTGTTCAATTTTTTGACATAGGGTGCTGGCAGATTACGGGCCTCCCATAGCTGCTGCCAGGCCCCTAATCTGCCATGGGCCCCTATACCGCCTCCTCATGCTGCTGCCAAGTCCAGAGTCTCTCATGGGTCCCACGGCCTCCCATTGCTGCTGTCTCCATCGCCACACTCTGCCATGTGCCACTTTCAGGTCTCCTCACACTGCTGGTGTGTTGAATTTTTTGACATAGGGTGCTGGCAGATTACGGGCCTCCCATAGCTGCTGCCAGGCCCCTAATCTGCCATGGGCCCCTATATACCGCCTCCTCATGCTGCTGCCAGGTCCAGAGTCTCTCATGGGTCCCTGTACGGCCTCCCATTGCTGCTGTCTCCATCGCCACACTCTGCCATGTGCCACTTTCAGGTCTCCTCACACACTGCTGGTGTGTTTCAATTTTTTGACATAGGGTGCTGGCAGATTACGGGCCTCCCATAGCTGCTGCCAGGCCCCTAATCTGCCATGGGCCCCTGTACCGCCTCCTCATGCTGCTGCTGCCAAGTCCAGAGTCTCATGGGTCCCTGTACGGCCTCTCATGCTGCATGTCTCCATCGCCACACTTGCCATGTGCCACTTTCAGGTCCTCACACTGCTGGTGTGTTGAATTTTTTGACATAGGGTGCTGCAGATTACGGGCCTCCCATAGCTGCTGCCAGGCCCCTAATCTGCCATGGGCCCCTATATACCGCCTCCTCATGCTGCTGCCAGGTCCAGAGTCTCTCATGGGTCCCTGTACGGCCTCCCATTGCTGCTGTCTCCATCGCCACACTCTGCCATGTGCCACTTTCAGGTCTCCTCACACTGCTGTGTGTGTTGAATTTTTTGACATAGGGTGCTGGCAGATTACGGGCCTCCATAGCTGCTGCCAGGCCCCTAATCTGCCATGGGCCCCTATATACCGCCTCCTCATGCTGCTGCTAGGTCCAGAGTCTCTCATGGGTCCCTGTACGGCCTCCCATTGCTGCTGTCTCCATCGCCACACTCTGCCATGTGCCACTTTCAGGTCTCCTCACACACTGCTGTTGTGTTCAATTTTTTGACATAGGGTGCTGGCAGATTACGGGCCTCCCATAGCTGCTGCCAGGCCCCTAAATCTGCCATGGGCCCCTATACCGCCTCCTCATGCTGCTGCAAGTCCAGAGCTCTCATGGGTCCTGTACAGCCTCCCATTGCTGCTGTCTCCATCGCCACACTTCTGCCATGTGCCACTTTCAGGTCTCCTCACACTGCTGGTGTGTTGAATTTTTTGACATAGGGGTGCTGCAGATTAACGGGCCTCCTATAGCTGCTGCCAGGCCCCTAATCTGCCATGGGCCCCTATATACCGCCTCCTCATGCTGCTGCTAGGTCCAGAGTCTCTCATGGGTCCCTGTACGGCCTCCCATTGCTGCTGTCTCCATCGCCACACTCTGCCATGTGCCACTTTCAGGTCTCCTCACACTGCTGTTGTGTTGAATTTTTTGACATAGGGTGCTGCAAGATAACGGGCCTCCTATAGCTGCTGCCAGGCCCCTTATCTGCCATGGGCCCCTATATACCGCCTCCTCATGCTGCTGCTAGGTCCAGAGTCTCTCATGGGTCCCTGTACGGCCTCCCATTGCTGCTGTCTCCATCGCCACACTCTGCCATGTGCCACTTTCAGGTCTCCTCACACTGCTGGTGTGTTGAATTTTTTGACATAGGGTGCTGGCAGATTACGGGCCTCCTATAGCTGCTGCCAGGCCCCTAATCTGCCATAGGCCCCTGTCAGGGATCCCCGCGATCCGTCCCTCGATGGTCCCGGCGCAGGCGCACTGCTCCTCCCAGTACACGGGCACTAGGTCCGGGCCGGCCGCGGCGTTCGAGTTCGCGCATGCGCAGTAGAAGCCGCGGCCGCCCGCTGGGCACCAATGGCAGCGCAGGGCGGGATATTTAAAGGTCCCTGAGCTGTCATTTCGTTGCCTTCTGGTCTTACCTGCATTCCTGATCCTGTGAACCTGTATACTGTAAGTTATTGACCCGGATTGCTCTTGACCTTGCTGATTTCTCCTGCCCAGACCCTTGCTTGCCTGACCTCTCTCCCTGGATGCCCCTCTGTAGATCTGACCTCCTGTTGCTGACCTGGCGTGTGACCCGACGATTCTCTGCCTGCTCCCTTGTACCTTACCGTCCTCTACATTACCGACTCGGCCTGTCTGACTACGCACTTGCTCAGCCATCCATCCATCCATCCCATCAGGGTCACCCGACCTCCTCACATTTGGCTCTCCCTGGTTGGAAACCCCTGGCGGACACCCCTACCACTGACAGGTGTGCTCAGTAGAGGCGACCTGGTCTCAGGGTACTACAAGTCCATCCCCACCATCAGGGGCCCTGGTGAACAAGTACCCTGGGGCTTAGATTCCGCGCTCTGGGCACGCCTGACCGGTGGAGTGCTAGTGGTGCCGCTCGGCGGTCCCTCACAGTCCCTACCACTGACAGGTGTGCTCAGTAGAGGCGACCTGGTCTCAGGGTACTACAAGTCCATCCCCACCATCAGGGGCCCTGGTGAACAAGTACCCTGGGGCTTAGATTCCGCGCTCTGGGCACGCCTGACCGTTGGAGTGCTAGTGGTGCCGCTCGGCGGTCCCTCACAGTACCAGAAGGCCATGACTGAGCCTCGAGGAGGACTCACCCCCCGTTGGACGAGGTGTGCAGGCACCTGTCTACCCTGACGCAAGCTGTAAACACATTACAGGAAAGATGTCTGCAGATCGAGAATCGGTTTCAGGCCTGCACCATATCTGTTCCTGTTTCACAGGCCCCGGCTCCTGCACCTCCAGTCGCAGCAGCCCACGAGCCGGCTCCTGGGGCCTCCCACATCACTCCCTATGGCGGAACCCCGAGTACCCTTACCCGAGCGCTTCCATGGGGATCGCACACGTTTTCGGTCATTTCGTGACTCTTGTCTTCTCTTTTTTGAACTACAGCCACGGACCTTTTTGACAGAGTCAGTGAAAGTGGGGTTTGTTGTCTCCCTGCTGCAGGGTGAACCCCAAGACTGGGCCCACCGACTAAGGGGAAACAATGACCCTCACCTGATTTCGGTCGACAGCTTCTTTAACGCTATGGCCATCTTATATGATGACCCACAACGGGCGGCCTCGGCCGAGGCCACGTTATACACACTCCGACAAGGTCGGCGGACGGCTGAGGAATACGCCTCTGACTTTAGGCGCTGGATGGGTGACACTCGTTGGAACGAGTTCGCCCTTTTACACCAGTTTCGTATGGGCCTACCTGAGGCTCTGAAAGACGAGCTCGCCCGGGTAGAGGTGCCCGAGATATTAGAGGACTTGATTGCACTCACTATTAAAATTGACCGTAGGCTACGGGAGCGCAGATTGGAGAGGTCTGGTCAGGGTCGCGGAAATCCCTGGGGGTCATTTCAGGGATCCGGTCAACATACTAGGCCAAGCATCCAGAACCTGCCGGCTGAAGATGCCCCGAACCCATGCAGCTAGGCCTGGCTCGGCCTAAACTATCGCCTGAGGAACGCCAGCGCAGACGCTCCCAGAATCTGTGCCTGTACTGCGGCGAAGCTGGTCACATGGTGCGTTCCTGCCCGCAGAAACTGAGTAAGTTCACTTCATCTTCTTTATCTGTTGGCGATATGACCCCGTCCCAGTACTTAGTTGTTCCCCCTCTCCTTTCAGCTTTCCGAAAGGACCGTGGAGGTGTCGGCCATAGTTGATTCGGGGGCATGCAGCTGTTTTGTGGATATCAAATTTTGCTCACCAGCAGGGTATTCCCCTCCGCCCAAAGGAGAAGGGGTTTCATATCTTTTTAGCTGATGGTTCCCGGATAAAGTCAGGAGTAGTCAACCAGGAGACCCCTTCCATTATGACTTCCATTGCCGGTTCAGCACCGGGAACTCCTCCGCCTGGATGCTATTGCATCACCCCTTTTCCCAGTCATTCTGGGGCTCCCTTGGTTGCGGGCCCATAACCCCCAAATTGACTGGGAAACTGGGGTTGTCTCGTTCCCTTCCCCATATTGTCGGGAACTGTGTCGAACTTCGGGCCCGGGGGTCCCCCAGGTTCTTTTGTGCTCTGAGGGGGATGACAGCCTGAAACAAGTGGTTCCTGCAGCCTATCACAAGTTCCTTGACGTGTTCAGTGAACGGGGAGCAGATGCTCTACCCCCCCACCGCCCATATGACTGTCCAATTGATCTGTTGCCCGGTTCTGAAATCCCGTTCGGACGAATTTTTCCCCTTTCTGAGCTGGAATTAGGGGCCCTGAAGGACTATATTGAGGATAGCCTCCGTAAGGGATTCATCCGTCCCTCCACTTCCCCAGCAGGTGCAGGGATCTTCTTTGTAGAAAAGAAGGACAAGACTTTGAGGCCATGCATTGACTATCGGGAGCTGAATAGGGTCACCATTAAAAATCGTTACCCATTACCTCTGGTACCTGAATTGTTCCAGAGCTTAAAGGCTGCGGTAGTATTTACCAAGTTGGACTTAAGGGGAGCCTACAATTTGGTTCGCATAAGGGAGGGGGGATGAGTGGAAGACGGCCTTCCGCACCCGATTCGGCCATTTTGAATACCTGGTCATGCCTTTCGGGTTATGCAATGCGCCAGCCACCTTCCAGCACTTTGTAAACGATATCTTTAGGGACTTCCTGGACATCTTTGTCATCGTCTACTTAGACGACATTTTGATTTTCTCATCCTCCCTGGGGGAGCACAGGGTACATGTAACAAAGGTGTTGGGGCGGTTGCGGCAGCACGGGTTGTACGCTAAAGCAGAGAAATGCTGCTTTGAACAGGCTAGCGTTACATTCCTGGGTCTGATTATCTCCACCACGGGGGTCGCAATGGACCCTCAGAAGGTCTCAGCGATCCTAGATTGGCCTGAAACCCACGGACAGGAAAAGTGTCCAACGTTTTATTGGGTTCGCAAATTTCTACCGGAAGTTCATCAAGAACTTCTCGGGTCTGGTCTCCCCTATCACTCAATTAACTAAGCTTGGGACGCGATTCAGATGGACGCCCGAGGCACAGGAAGCCTTTGAGGCACTAAAAAGGTTATTTACCTCGGCACCCATTCTGGGTCATCCCGACGCCTCCCTGCCCTACATCTTAGAAGTAGATGCATCTGAAAACGCGGTTGGCTCCATCCTTTCCCAGCGGAAGGGCGCCAAGGAATTACTTCACCCAGTAGCATTCTTTTCACGGAAACTTACCCCGGCGGAGAGGAACTACGACATTGGGGATCGCGAGCTACTGGCTATCAAAACCGCTTTAGAGGAATGGAGGTACCTGCTGGAAGGTGCCTCCCATCCCATCCTGATATTCACGGACCACAAGAACCTGGAATATCTGAGGACGGCCAAACGTCTACGCCCACGACAAGCAAGATGGGCATTGTTTTTCTCGAGGTTCCAGTTCCACATCACATACAGGCCCGGCTCGAAAAACACGAAGCCTGGCGCATTATCGCGCATGTATGAGGACACCAAGGAGATCCCAGTGCCCGACACTATTCTTCCGGCAGGGAATTTCTTGGCCCTTCAGACAAACCTTCGCTCCGAGATCCTGAGGGCGTCCACAGCAATGTCTACCTCCGATGGGGCCCCCCTCCAGAACAAGGAGGGACTCCTATGGAGGGAGGACCGGATTGTGGTGCCAGAGGATGCCCGAACCTTAGTCTTGGGACATTGCCATGACCACCCACTGGCAGGACATTTTGGACCGGTCAAGACCCTGGAACTTCTCCGGCGTTCCTTCTGGTGGCGGACATGGCCAAGGATTGTAAGATCTACGTGGGCTCCTGTGCCATCTGCCAGCGGAACAAGCCTTCAAGGAACAAGGCATGGGGCCTGCTACGTCCATTGCCCATCCCTGAACGGCCCTGGCAGAGAATCTCCATGGACTTCATAGTCGAGCTCCCTCCTTCGCTGGATCACACAGCAATCCTCGTGGTTGTGGACCGCTTATCCAAGATGGCCCATTTCATCCCTTTACGGAAGACTCCATCTGCAGCCGAGACGGCACAAGTCTTTATTCGAGAGATCGTTAGACTGCATGGGGTTCCCGAAGACATCGTCTCGGACCGAGGGGTGCAGTTTACCTCGCGGTTTTGGAGGGCGCTGTGCAAAGCCCTGGATATCAAGCTGTCTCTTTCCTCGGCATTTCACCCTCAGACCAATGGCCAGACCGAGAGGACCAATCAGACCCTGGAGCAATACCTGCGATGCTACACATCATTCTCTCAGGACGACTGGGCGCCACTCCTCCCTTTGGCAGAATTCGCGTACAACAACGCTTGCCATTCAGCAACTGGGCAGTCCCCGTTCTTCGCCAACTATGGGTTTTCATCCGGTCTTCCTCCCGGACTTGGTCCCGGAATGCCCGATTCCAGCGACGCAGGATGCACTGACCTTCTTCACCTCCAACAATAAAGAAATTACAGGAAGCCATCCGTCAAGCCCAAGAAGACTATAAGAAGGCTTTCAATAGGAAGCGAAGAGGGAACCTGGTGTTGCAGCCCGGAGAGAAGGTTTGGCTGGCTACGTCAAACTTGAGGATGCTTTGCCCGTCGAAGAAGTTGGGACCTAAATTCATAGGCCCTTTTTGCATCAAACGGATGGTCAATGAGGTGGCCTATGAACTTGTTCTCCCTGACACACTCAAGATCCACCCTGTCTTCCACGTGTCCCTGTTGAAACCGGTAGTCCCTGATTGCCTTCCCGGAACGGGAATCCAGGCCCCCGGAGGCCGTAACGGTTGAAGAGGAAGAGGAATTTGAGGTGGAGGCAATCTTGAAGTGCCGTCGAAGGGGGGGCCAGACCCAATTTCTCATCAAGTGGAAGGGCTACGGCCCTGAGGACAATTCGTGGGAACCAGCCCATAATGTCCATGCACCTAGGCTTGTCCGGAGGTTTCTTTGTGATCACCCGTGGTGGAGAGATCGGGTGGGCATCCCGGGGCATCCGGAGGTTGCCCGTAGGGGGGGGGCAATGTCAGGGATCCCCGCGATCCGTCCCTCGATGGTCCCGGCGCAGGCGCACTGCTCCTCCCAGTACACGGGCACTAGGTCCGGGCCGGCCGCGGCGTTCGAGTTCGCGCATGCGCAGTAGAAGCCGCGCCGCCCGCCCGCTGGGCACCAATGGCAGCGCAGGGCGGGATATTTAAAGGTCCCTGAGCTGTCATTTCGTTGCCTTCTGGTCTTACCTGCATTCCTGATCCTGTGAACCTGTATACTGTAAGTTATTGACCCGGATTGCTCTTGACCTTGCTGATTTCTCCTGCCCAGACCCTTGCTTGCCTGACCTCTCTCCCTGGATGCCCCTCTGTAGATCTGACCTCCTGTTGCTGACCTGGCGTGTGACCCGACGATTCTCTGCCTGCCCCTTGTACCTTACCGTCCTCTACATTACTGACTCGGCCTGTCTGACTACGCACTTGCTCAGCCATCCATCCATCCATCCCATCAGGGTCACCCGACCTCCTCACATTTGGCTCTCCCTGGTTGGAACCCCTGGCGGACACCCCTACCACTGACAGGTGTGCTCAGTAGAGGCGACCTGGTCTCAGGGTACTACAAGTCCATCCCCACCATCAGGGGCCCTGGTGAACAAGTACCCTGGGGCTTAGATTCCGCGCTCTGGGCACGCCTGACCGGTGGAGTGCTAGTGGTGCCGCTCGGCGGTCCCTCACAGCCCCTATATACCACCTCCTCCTGCTGCTGCCAGGTCCAGAGTCTCTCATGGGTCC